GTCAAGAGATCGAGACCATCCTGGTCAACATGGTGAAACCCTGTCTCTACTAAAAATACTAAAAATTAGCTGGGCATGGTGGCACGTGCCTGTAATCCCAGCTACTCAGGAGGCTGAGGCAGGAGAATTGCCTGAACCCAGGAGACGGAGGTTGCGGTGAGCCGAGATTGCGCCATTGCACTCCAGCATGGGCAACAAGAGCAAAACTCTGTCTCAAAAAAAAAAAAAAAAAAACAAAGGCACACTTAAGAGACCAACTTTTTTGAAGCTTAAAATCTTTAACTTACTGTCCTTTTTTTTTTTCTTTTGAGATCTAGTTTTAGTTTTTGGAAACTAGAATTACTTTATGATCCAGCAATCCCACTGCTGAATATTTACCCCCAAAAACTGAAATCAGATTGTCAAAGAGAGATCTGTAGTTCACTGCAGCACTATTCACAATATCCAAGTTATGGAATCAAGCTAAGTGTCCATTAACACATGAAGAGATCAACAGAATATGGTAAATATACACAACAGAATACTATTCAGCCCTAAACAAGAAAAATTCTGTCATTGGCAACAACATGGACAGAAGCGATGAATGTTATACTAGAGAAATAAGCCAGGCACAGAAGCACAATGTAGGATTCCACTTACATGTGGAATCCAAAAAACAATGGAACTCTCTGCAGCAGACAGCAGAACCGTGGTTACAGAAGCGGGGAGCAGGGCACAGGGAGACGATGGTCAAAGGGTACAAAGTCTGTTAGACAAAAGGAAAGTATTTTTTCTTTTTTGCATTTTATTGCACAGTGTGGTGAATATAGTTAATACAGTTATTTTTTGGTGGCTCACATCTTTAATCACAGCACTCTGAGAGTTCCGAGACCTGAGGATCACTTGAGCCCAGGAGTTCGAGAGAAGCCTGAGCAACAAAAAAATCAAAATGCCAGGTGTGGTGGTACACACCTGTGGTCCCAGCTACTCAGGAGACTGAGGCAGGAGTTTAACTTGAGCCCAGGAGGTAGAAAGTGTAGTAAGCTGTAATCGCCACTGCACTCCGGCCAGGACAACAGAGCAGGACTCTGCCTTGTAATAATAAATTTTTTTTAATTAAAAAATAAGGCCTGAGGCCGGGCGCGGTGGCTCAAGCCTGTAATCCCAGCACTTTAGGAGGCCGAGGCAGGTGGATCACGAGGTCAAGAGATTGAGACCATCTGGGTCAACATGGTGAAACCCCGTCTCTACTAAAAATACAAAAAATTAGCTGGGCGTGGTGGCACATGCCTGTAATCCCAGCTACTCAGGAGGCTGAGGCAGGAGAATTGCCTGAACCCAGGAGGCGGAGGTTGCGGTGAGCCGAGATCACGCCACTGCACTCCAGCCTGGGTAACTAGAGTGAAACTCCGTCTCAAAAAAAAAAAGAAAAAAAATTAATAATAAGGCCTGGTATGGTGACTCATGCCTATAATCCCAGCACTTTGGGAGGTCAAGGTGGGTGGATCACCTGAGGTCAGGAGTTCAAAACCAGCCTGGCCAAAATGGTGAAACCCCCGTCTCTACTAAAACTTCACATATTAGCTGGGCGTGGTGGTGGGTGCTTGTTATCCCAGCTACTCAAGAGGTTGAGGCAGGAGAAACACTTGAACCTGAGAGGGGAGGCTGCAGTGAATTGAGATTGTGCCACTGTACTACAGCCCAGGTGACAGAGAGGACTCCCATCTCCAAAAAACAATAAATAAAATAAAATAAAGGCTAAAGCTGAGGCCAGTGAGGTCCTCAGATTAGTCATAAAATCTAGAGCAATTACATGCAATCCTTTTTTAATAGCTTCAAAGGTTCTTCAGTACTGGGCAAGGGAAACACACCAGCTCTGTAACATGGACCAGAAGTCATTAAAAGGCCTCTGGAGGGCACTGAAGGGCTTGCCATTTATCCTTTGGCTATAGCCAGAGTTGCAGAGACCAGACTGGAGCTGTGCTCCTGCAAACTAAATACAGGCACTGAAACAACTCGCAGACATCAAATTTAATTTCCTGATTGTCAATACCAGACAGGAATGACAATCAGCATCTTTTTCACGGTCCTTAATAAAGTAAGTTAGGCACTGCTTTTTTTGTTTTGTTTTGTTTTGTTTTGTTTTTTCAAAGATGGGGTTTCACCATGTTAGCCAGGCTGGTCTTGAACTCCCGACCTCAGGTGATCCACCCACCTTGGCCTCGCAAAGTGCTAGGATTACAGGCATGAGCCACCACGAGTTAGGCACTGTTTTATGTCACCAGCTTTCTACAGAACAAGACAAACCCATTAAATGAAAACAATTCTTTAGAAACCAGGCCGGGCGCGGTGGCTCAAGCCCGTAATCCCAGCACTTTGGGAGGCCGAGGCGGGTGGATCACAAGGTCGAGAGATCGAGACCATCCTGGTCAACATGGTGAAACCCCGTCTCTACTAAAAATACAAAAAATCAGCTGGGCATGGTGGCGTGTGCCTGTAATCCCAGCTACTCAGGAGGCTGAGGCAGGAGAATTGCCTGAACCCAGGAGGCAGAGGTTGCGGTGAGCCGAGATCGCGCCATTGCACTCCAGCCTGGGTAACGAGCGAAACTCCGTCTCAAAAAAAAAAAAAAAAAAAAGAAACCAAAGGCTGGGCCTAGTGGCTCACGCCCGTAGTCCCAGCACTGTGGGAAGCAAAGTTGGGTGGATCACTTGATGCCAAGAGTTTGAGACCAGCCTGGCCAACATGGTGAAGCCCTGTCTTCAATAAAAATACAAAAACTACCCAGGCATAATGACCCAGGCACGCACCTTTGTCCCAGCTATTCAGAAGGCTGAGGAATTGCTTGAACCCAGAATGCGGAGGTTGCTGATCGAGCCATTGTACTCGAGCCTGAGCAACAGAGGAAGACTCCATCTCAAAACAAAAACAAAACAAAAATCTACCAGAAGGCAGACTAGATAGCTTATGCTTTTCTTTCAAAGAAAAGCGTTTAACCCTCCCCAGCTGCCTCTGCCGCTATTTCCAGGCACCGATGTGCAGCTACCTCGCCTCGGTGTTTGTCCACCAACTGGCCCTAGTTTTTTCATTTTCCAGCTAATTCTAAGTAGCCCAAATCCTCCCAATCTTTCTAGATCCACCTCAAACGTCATTTCCTTTATGAGTTTCAGGCCGAGTGAAGTGGCTCACACACAAAAAAACCAGCACTTTGGGAGGCCAAGGCGGACTGATCACCTGAATTTGAGACCAGCCTGGCCAACACAGTGAAACCCCACCTCTACCAAAAATAGAAAAAATTAGCCGGGTGTGATGGCGGGTGCCTGTAATCCCGGCTATTGGGGAGGCTGAGGCAGGGTAATTACTTAAACCCGAGATGCAGAGGTTGCAGTGAGCCAAGACTGCGCCACTGCGCTCCGGCTTGGGGGACAGAGCAAGACTCCTCCTTCAAAAAAAAAAAAAAAAGAAAAAAAGAAAAAAAATTTAATAGTAACCATAACAAAATTCCTAACAGCTGGTATACCACTATGGCAATTCCGTCCTGCCACATCTTCCAGCCTATTGCTTCCTCTAAGTATGTTCCTTGCAGGCAGAAACACTATATTTGAACTTGGGCCGGGCACAGTGGTTCATGCCTGTAATCCCAGCACTCTGGGAGGCCAAGATGGATGGATCACCTGAGGTCAGAAGTTTGAGACCTGCCTGGCCAACATGGTGAAACCCCATTTCTACTGAAAACATAAAAATGGGCTGGCCATGGTGGCTCAAGCCTGTAATCCCAGCCACTAGGGGAGCGCTGAGGCAGGAGAATCACTTGAACCCGGGAGGTGGAGGTTGCAGTGAGCAGAGATCCCGCCACTGCATTCCAGCCTGGGAGACAAGAGTGAGGCTCTGCCTCCAAAAAAAAAAAAAAAAAAAAAAAAAAATATATTTGCAATTAGCTCTACAGCTGCAGCTAGAGCCTAAATGGAGTCGGTGGCAGTCAACCAGTGTTGGGTGATTCCAGTCCCCCTTAATGAGGCCACAGGAATCCCCCCAGCATCTTCACCCTTACCCCTAGAGAGTAAACGCACTTGGGGGTCAGCGCAGCCTAAGTGCGCCCTGGGTGCGCAACAGGTCTATTTCCCGTCGGAATTCCGAGATGCAAAGAGGAAGCGGGTGGACACCACGACCGGCCGGGCGCCGACGGAACATCCTTCTACAAATGAGAGACACCTGCTCGCACCCCGAGCCGACGGTGCGAGGGAGACAGACCCGTGACCGCGCCCTGGGCGGCAGCCTCGGAGTCCGTCCTCCCACGGCCTCCCGAGCGGCTCACCTTCCAGGCCGGACACGAGCCGTTCGGGGGAAGCCGCGATCCTCACCAAGCAGCTCGCCGCTCCCCAGCCAGCGGCAGCCGTCGCCTGCCGGCCGGGAACGACGCTCGGACCCCGGACTCCTCCACAAAGGCCCGCTCCCCAGCTGGGCGGCGGGTGTCACTCCCGACGGCGCCCGGCCGGGGGCCCGACACCTCCTCGCGCGCACCCCGCATGTCACCGACAGCGCGCGCACGGCCGCCTCGCGCCGGGTGTGCACCGAGCTCCGCGCGGGGAGCGCCCCGCGCCGTCCCACGCCGCGCAGACGCACGCCGCCCTCCCACCCTCCCGGGACGGGTCCCACCGGCGAACGGAGGACAAACGCGAACGCGCCCCAGAGTCGGAGATGGCAAACCACCAAAACGTTCCGGTGCCAAATCCGACTTATCCGGCCTCGGCTCCGCACGCGGTGAGACCCGCCGTCTCCACGGCCGGCGGCGAGCCCGGGCTCGGGGAACGCGGGCGGGCACGCGCCGGTGTAGACGGACCAGGCCCAGGCCGGCCGATGCTGGGCGACCCCCGCCTGCCGCTGCGGGGGGGGAACTGCACCCCGGAAACGCGGAAAGAAGCCGGCGGAGGGGCCGCTCCCGGCCAGCACGCCCCCCGCTCCCGGCCCCGCGAGCCTCCCGGACCGGCCCGACCCCAGCCCGCCCGCCAGACCCGGCTCACCCCGCCTCGGCGGGCAGCGGCGCGCCCCGGGCCCGGCGGGGCCAGCTGCTCGGCGGACGCCCGCGGACGCGCTGGGCTCACTCCTGGCAGCGCGCAGCGGGCCCGGGGCCGCTCGGCACCATCCTCCCCGCCGCGCCGGGGGCAGCGTCCGGCTCCGCGGGGCCGAAGCAGGCACCAGACGCCGACTGGGCTCCCGCCGCCGCCTCAGCTCTGGCTCCGGCCGCCGCGGTTTCCGGGTGAAAAAAAACACACACACACGCCACCGCCAACGCCGCCGTGACCTCCGACCCCGGGCGTCCGACGGCGGCGCGGCCGGGACAAGCTTCGTCAGGAGCGGGCGGTGGAAACGCGCTTCCGGGCCGGGTGGCGTGCGTGGCGGACGTACGTGGAGTGCGTGTGCGCGTGGCGCGTCCGTGTGGCTCGCAGGCGGTGAGTGTGTGTGCAGCGTGCATGTGCACGGAGCGTGCCCACGTTAGTGCACACTGTGCTGCTGTGTGCGCCGCGCGTGTGTCTGTTGATGTGCTGGAATAGTAATCACGGCTGATAAACGTATCATTTGGGGCCGGGCGCGGCGGCTCACGCCTGTCATCTCTTTGGGACGCCGAGGCAGGAGGATCGCTTCAGTCCAGGAGTTCGAGACCAGCCTTGGCAACATAGGGAGACTGTCTCTATTTATAAATAAAAACAAAATGAAGGCCGGGCGCGGTGGCTCACGACTGTAATCCCAGCACTTTGGGAGGCAGAGATGGGCGGATCACGAGGTCGAGAGATCAAGACCATGCTGGTCAACATGGTGAAACCCCGTCTCTACTAAAAATACAAAAAATTAGCTGGGCATGGTGGCACGTGCCTGTAATCCCAGCTACTCGGGAGGCTGAGGCAGGAGAATTGCCTGAACCCAGGAGGCGGAGGTTGCGGTGAGCCGAGATCGCGCCATTGCACTCCAGCCTGGGTAACAAGAGCGAAACTCCATCTCAAAAAAAAAAAAAAAAAAAAATTGAGAAAAAGCAGATGTCCATAAAGTCAAATGTAAAAATCAACTTTGATATATTTATGGTTTAGTTTTTTTTTTTCTACAGACAGCGTCTCCGCATGTTACCCAAGCTGGTCTTGAACTATTGGGCCCAAGTGATCCTCCCGCCTCAGCCTCCCAAAGTTCTGGGATTACAGGTGTGAGCCGCCACGCCTGGCCCATCTTGATGTTTAATCAGATACAAAAGACCAGTGAAAATTATTTAATACAGCTCACACAATTATGGTAGTCAATTTCAGAATATAATTTTGGTAGGGAGCAAATCACAAAACGGTACACTGCTATATATTCCCATTATATAAAATTCAAAACAGGCAAGTTAATCAACATACTGTTTAGAGATGCATAGGTAATTGGTTGAACTGACGTAAAGCAGGGGTAAAAGCTACATAAACTTCATGTTCAGTGTGAGGGGAATGTGATGGGCAGGAGCACATGGTGCTTTACAGGTAATGAAAGTTTTGTTGTTACTTTTGAGACAAGGTCTTGCTCTGTCACCCAGGCTGGAGTGCAGTCTCGAAATTGTGGCTCACGGCAGCCTCAACCTCTCAGACTAAATTGATCCTCCTGTCTCAGCCTCCCGAGTAACTGGGACCACAGGTGTGTACCACAATACCCAGCTAATTTTCGTATTTTTTGTAGAAATGGGGAAAGCCGCATTTGCCCAGGCTGGTCTCAAACTCCTGGGATCAAGTGAACTGCTCACTTCCACCTTCCAACGTGTTGGGATTATAGGTGTAAACCACTGCACCCGGCCGTCGGGACCCATTTTAACGAAGGTGTATCAGATGACGCCTGCAATGATCAACACAATGGCTCAGTTCCTTCACTGAATACCCTCTTATTTCCAGGGCTCTTGCCCTCTTTTCTCATCTTGCACCATTTGAATTACCTTCCTTGTTGTGATGGGTGTCACATAATCTTCGAGTGCAGGCAGTATTGAATTGTGTATATAACGATGGAACCAAACTCCCTAGTGAGATGTCCCTTACTCAGGCTATGACTGATAATTTAATAAAAGGAGCCCCACCACCAATGGCACCATATATCACCTAGTGATTGAGACCATAGGAGAATGTAAAAAAGGCAACCTCAAATCTTTTATCCTAGCTACCTTGTATGGGATTTCAATAAAATTTTTGTTTTTGTTTTGAGATGGAGTCTTGCTCTGTTGCCCAGGCTGGAGTGCAGTGACACGATCTCAGCTCACTGCAACCTCCACCTCCCTGGTTCAAGCAATTCTTCTGCCTAAGCCTCCCAAGTAGCTGGGATTACAGGCACATGCCACCACGCCCCACTAATTTTTGTAATTTTAGTAGAGACAATGTTTTCCCATGTTGGTCAGGCTGCCCATGAACGCCTCGCCTCAAGTGATCCACCCACCTTGGCCTCCCAAAGTTTTGGGATTACAGGTGTGAGCTACTGAGTCTAGCCAATATTTTTAAAAACCCTTTTTTAATACGGACAAGGTCTCACTGTGTTGCCCAGGCTGGTTTTGAGCTTCTGGCCTCAAGCAGTCCTCCTGACTCAGCTTCCCAAAGTGCTGGGATTACAGGTGTGAGCTACAACATCCAGCTGGATTGTAAAAAAAAAAAAAAAAAAAAAAGACCAGCCTGGAAAACAGTGAGACCCCATCTCAAATAAACAAATAAACAAGTTCTAAGACATATGGCTTTATTTAAAAAACAAAACAAAGTTACTGGCCGAGTGGGGTGGCTCACGCCTGTAATCCCAGCACTTTGGGAAGCTGAGGCAGGCAGATCACTTGAGGTCAGGAGTTTGAGACCAGCCTTCGCAACATGGCGAAACCCTATTTCTGCTAAAAATATGAAAAATGAGCCGGATGTGGTGGCAGATGCCTGTAATGCTAGCTACTTGGGGGTGCTGAGATGGGAGAATGGCTTGAGCCCAGAAAGCAGAGGTTGCAGTGAGCTGAGATCACACCACTTCACTTCAGCCTGGTCGACAGAGCCAGACCTTGTCGCCAGAACAACAACAAAAAAAAAACAGTTAACCATTTGACCTCACAATTCAACTTCTGGAGACCCAAGAGAATTGCAAACAAAAATTCCAAATAAAAGGTTGTACAGGAGTGTTCGTAGCAGCATCATAATAGCCAAAAAGTGGAAGCAACTCAATATGTTCATCAGCTGATGAATGGATAAACAAAATGTGGCAAATTCACACAGCAGAATGGTAGTCAGCCATGAAAAGGAGTGAAGAACCGGAGCAAACTACAGCATACATGAATCTTGAACATATTATGTCAGGCGAAAGAAGCCAGTCACGGCTAATATGGTGAAACCCCATCTCCAGTAAAACTGCAAAAGGTAGCCAGGTGTGGCGGTCTATACCTGTAGTCCCAGCTACTCGGGAGGCTGAGGCAGCAGAATCACTTGAACCCAGGAGGCAGAGGTTGCAGTGAGCCGAGATCGCACCATTGTACTCTAGCCTGGGTGACAGAGTGAGACTCCATCTCAAAAAAAAACACTTTTTTTTTTTTTTAAAGAAGCCAGTCACAAAAGACCATGTAGTGGATGACACATTTCTATGAAATGTCCAGGACAGACAAATCTATGGAACGGAAAGCACATTAGTGGTTGGGTTGCCTAGGGTGGGCAGGAGGCAAATTGGGAGGTGGTAATAGCCAGGGGGTTTCTTTTGGGAGTGAAGAAAATGTTAAACTATAGGCCAGGAGTGGTGGCTCCGCGTGTAATCCCACCACTTTGGGAGGCTGAGGCCAGTGGATCACTTGAGGTCAGGAGTTTGACACCAGCCTGGCTAACATGGTGAAACTCCATCTGTACTAAAAATACAAAAATTAGCTGGGCATGGTGGCGTGTACCTGTAATCCCAGTTATTTGAGAGACTGAGACACAAGAATCTCTTGAACCTGGGAAGTGGAGGTTGCAGTGAGCCAAGATCAGGCCATTGCACTCCAGCCTGGGAGACAGAGCAAGACTCCGTCTCAAGAAAAAGTAAATATGACGATGGTTGCGCAATTCTGTGGTTAAACTAAAAACCACTGAAGTGTGCACTTTTAATTGAGTTAATGGTATAGTATGTTAATTATATCTAAACAAAACTTTTTTTTTTTTTTTAAAGATTAGGGCTTTACAAAAGAAAGAAAACCAAAACAAAAAAAGGGATAAAAATATGGGCTCTAAACATGTGGAAATCTTTAGACAGTTAACTTTTAAATGGCATGAAAAAGAAAGAAATTGACGAAGAGCCAGCAAAACCTTGAGATAAGTTTCTAGAAATCTGGGTTTCCCACTGTGAATTCTTCTCAAACTCCTTAGCATATACGATTCCGAGGCTTAGAGAAATTTCAGAAAGAAAATGCTTCCAATGAACCTACAGGATTGAATGCCAAAATACCCATGTTTGTTTGCTTATTTATTTATTTATTCATTTTGAGACAGGGTCTTGTACTGGGTCTTGTTCTGTTGCCCAGGCTGGAGTGCAGTGGCACAATCATAGCTCACTGTAGCCTCAACCTCTCAGGCTCAAGCAATCCTCCTGTCTCGGCCTCCCAAGTAGCTGGGACTACAGGTGCGTGCCACCACTCCCAGCTAATGCTTTTATTTTATGCTTTGTAGAAACAGAGTGTCCGTTGCCCAGGCTGGTCTCAAACTCCCAGGCTCAAGCAATCCTCCCACCTCAGCCTCCCAAAGTGCTGGGATTACAGGTATGAGTCATTGTACCCAGCCTCTCCTTGTAAAATTAAGGCAGTAGTTCCTTGTTCTATACTTGCAAATTTTTCTTTAACATTGAGATGGCTTTGAAATTAAAAAATAAGGTTCACATCTATAATCCCAGCACTTTGGGAGGCTAAGGCCAGAAGATCACTTGAGGTCAGGAGTTCGGGACCAGCCTGGCCAACATCGTGAAACCCTGTCTCTACTACAAATATAAAATATAGCTAGGCATGGTGGGGGGCACCTATAACCCCAGCTATTCAGGAGGCTGAGACAGGAGAATCTCGAACCCCGGAGGTGGAGGTTGCAGTGAGCTGAGATCACGGCACTTCACTCCAGCTATGGTGATAGCATGAAACTCTGTCTCAAAAATAACTAATAAACAATAAAAAATAAAGTGACATCCCTTATCAAAAAAAGAATCAAAGCAGTAATAGAGAAAGAAGATCCACAAGAGGGACAGTACCTCTTGATCCAGTTCCCAGCGGGGTTTGAAAGGCCTTTCACAAAAGT